CACACATCACGGAGACGTTTGCATTTACATCTGCAAGACGCATTTTTTAGAGTGTTTCCTATCAGATGTCAAATAGACGTTTAGAAGATGTCTTTAATATGTTTATGATTTAGAATGTATGTAAAACTGACATCTCAAAGACGTCTACCATATGTTTGTACACAGCAGATGCTTTCTTACTTTTAAATTAAGCCAGTATTTCATGTTAAAATAGAGACAATGCCTTTAAAATCCAATTTTTGAAGGCAGGTTAGTGTCATCTGGTGGGAGTAAGAAAAAGAAAAACATCTGCAATTCCATGGTTTAGCCACTAGATTCCTATTTAGCTCTATATAAAAAGGTTTATAAATTCTCTAGTTGTTTTTAAGCATAAATACTTATTTGTTCCTTGATAGCACACACACATCACGGAGACGTTTGCATTTACATCTGCAAGACGCATTTTTTAGAGTGTTTCCTATCAGATGTCAAATAGACGTTTAGAAGATGTCTTTAATATGTTTATGATTTAGAATGTATGTAAAACTGACATCTCAAAGACGTCTACCATATGTTTGTACACAGCAGATGCTTTCCAGATGAAGCAATTTTTAACAGACAGCTTGCAGATGTACCTGTGCTATCTGGGTTATTAAGTTGTGGATTTGGATATATATTTAGACATTCTCAAAGGCAATTTTTTGTAAAGATTTAGATTTATTTTTGGTATGAAATGTCAGTTGTTGCATTAATTTTACTACAGTCAAACAGAAAGCAGAGAAAGACATTTTGTTACACAACATCAAAATTTAAAAAAAAAAGTCACAAAAATGAACAGGAATGCTTTATTAGAGGTTAATCAATCTGATTTCAACCTCTTATTTGAGTCTTCTGGCTCATATTCACAAACTGAATTCACAAATTGAGTCTTCTGGCTCAAATCACATTTTGCCATTTTGTTACAGCCACATCAGTTTATTTGTGTGTGTGTGTATAATAGTGTGTCTGTTTTGTACTCCTGATGTTTTAGAGCAGGGGTCTCCAAACTCGGTCCCGGAGGGCCACTGACCTGCAGAGTTTAGCTCCAACCCTAATTAAACACACCTGAACCAGTTAATTAAGGTCTTACTAGGCATACTAGAAACTTCCAGGCAGGTGTGTTGAGGCAAGTTGAAGCTAACCTCTGCAGGACACTGGCCCTCCAGGAGTTTGGAGACCCCTCTTTTAGAGTGTAACCCCTTCCTTGGTGTCTGTTTTTACTTCATTGTGGTTGAATTATTATTTCACGCATTTGCAAAAACATGCTTTGTGTTACAGTCACACTAGTTCATATATGTGTGTCTGTGAGGGGTGGGTGCAATGTGTCTATTTTTGCGCATTGATGGAGTGTTGCTATTTTGAGGCAACTGAAAACGATTGCGCCATTGACCAACTAAAAGTCTAAAGTCAATGATGCAGTATTCTTTTTTTTCTCATTTATTTAAAGGGAGCGTTATATATGTCTATAGGCGGGTGCACAAAGCACGCACACACTTATTACACACACAAACATGCCAAATATTAAAAATGAAAGGATTACAATGTAAAAGATTATTATTGTGCCCCGTAGATGGTCTGCTTGCGCGCATTAACCTGTAACAAAAGTTTTTTTTGTTGGTATTTGATTTTTTTGTGTGTGTAGTTAGACCAACCTATGAACACTATCCAATATTATTGCAAGACTGATTCCCGCTCATCCTCATAAAACAATACCAGTTTAAATAGCTGGAACGGTTAAAAACCTCATGCACGAGCAGATCAATTTCCTCTCTGGAGAAGCGTTCAGTCTTTGCTCTTGCAAATTCCGCCATGTAAATAGCGAATCCGCCATGGTGCATGCACAACTGGCTTTTAAAGGGAATGGGAGATGAGACTCTGATTGGTTCATTGCACGTTATGGCCAAAGCACACCCATGACTCATTAAGAGAATAGGTACAACCCTTTTAGACCATGTGCCTGGCGCGCAGACCGTTTTTTCCGTCCTTAAACTAGCAAAAGTGGATTCGGACATGCCCTAAGTGCACCTGCACCATGCGCTTCAATGCGTTGCAATGCGTTTAGATCGTTATTGATATTTTAGAGCAGGGGTGTCAAACTCAATTCCTTGAGGGCCGGAGCCCTGCAGAGTTTAGATTCAACCCTATTTAAACACACCTGATCCAACTAATCAAGTCCTTCAGCCTTATTTGAAAACTACATGGTATGTGTTTAAGCAGGGTTGGAACAAAACTCTGCAGGGCTCCAGCCCTCCAGGAATTGAGTTTAACACTCCTGTTTTAGAGTTTCACCCCTTCATTGCTGTGCACTTTTTTCTGCATTGTGAATGATTTGTAGAATGTACACACAAAAATTGCACTGTATTTTCATGTTTTTGCAATTGTGACAATTTTTTTAACGACCATTTAGCCTTTTCGAATCAAGTCCATAATTTTTTTTGTGATCACAGAGTGACTGTCATAAAAGTTATAGAATTTCGTACCATTCTGATAAAGTACAACCCTCTACATCGTGAGTAAATCACTCGCATATGCGACTAAATATTCACTCTGGGCGACTAAATGAGTCTAATATTAGCCAATGGCTAATAAATTATCAGATTTTACTCGCCAGTGTGTGAGTTGGAGGCTAAGTATAAGTTTAGCACAGATATATTTTCACTCGCCGAACACTCTCTGACTGAGTGCTTTAGAGTTTCACTCTCCGTAAGGCGATATGTGCTATTTTCAGTTCATCTGAATGGATGCGCAGCGCACCTGAATTTGACGTACCGTAAACTCTAGTGTAAAGGCGCACGACTCGCCGTCACTTTGTCTTACACACACGCATATAGAGAGAGAGAGAGAGAGAGAGAGTTGACATGCTACATGTAAATGATATTCTTTGTTGTATTTTCCTGTCAAAATAACGGCTTTCCTTTGGAATTCTTCAGCTTTTAAGAACTGTCGGGTTTCCCGGTAGTGGGCGGAACTAATGTGGCAACGGCAATCTCATTGGCTGGCGCTCATCTATTACCATCCCTGTTTTGATTTCAGCAAATCAGTTCGAGCGAATGCACAAAACCTGATTAATATTTATGAATCCAGCAGCTCATTAATCCTTCGTGCGTTTTATAGTTCTTATTAGTAAAATTCGTATCATTATTATCTTATCAGTATTTTTGTTAGTTTTATCGCAATTTCGTGCATGAGAGGAAGTCGTGGCCTAATGGTTAGAGTTGGACTCGTAACCCAAAGATTGCGGGTTCGAGTCTCGTACCGGCAGGGATTGTAGTTGGGGGGAGGGAATGTACAGCGCTCTCTTCCACCTTCAATACCACGACTGAGGTGCCCTTGAGCAAGGAACCGAACCCCCAACTGCTCCCCGGGCGCCGCAGCATAAATGGCTGCCCACTGCTCCGGGTGTGTGTTCTCGGTGTGTGTGTGTGTGTTCACTGCTGTGTGTGTGCACTTAGGATGGGTTAAATGCAGAGCACTAATTCCGATACTTGGCCACATGTCAAAAAAATTAAAAAAAATTTTTTTTTTTTTTTTACAGAAACACTGAATTACCAAAAAAACACCAGTTAAAATGACTAATATGCATTCAAACATTGTTATCAAGTTTTAATTCTCATTACTAAATTTCTATCATTAAATAATACTTGATAATCATATTATAATGCTTGACTGACTGATGTTAAGAGTGTACTTTCAGATATTTAAAAACTGTGCCATTTTATAAACACATATATATATATATATATATATATAGTCTGGCGATTCTGGCGAGTAAACTAAAAAATGCTAAACCAATACTAAATACAAAAAATACTAGCCAATGGCGATTCAATTGCCAAGGTGTCCGTAGAGGGTTGAAGTAGCAATTTTGAAAAATTCTAAACTTTTTTTTTCAGCCTAAAATGACCGAACGATACCAAGAGGGTTAAACCCTTTTTCAATCTTTGTTTTATTTGCATGTCTAAGGCTGTGTTCACACTGCAAGCATTAGTGCTCAATTTCAATTTATTGCTCAGATCCGAAATTTTTGTATGGCTGTTCACATTGTCATTTTTAAATGTGGCCAATATCAGATTCCAGTGTGAATGAATGACAGTCCTGAACTGAGCCGCATGTGCAAAAGAACGATAACAAGACGGCATGAAGTGCGCTGTCATACGGAAGTAAACACTGAGGCCAATGAAGTAAGCATTTATGTGTTCATTTATAAGCTGATGTGACGTGAAAGGCAGCAAATTTGTGAGCAGGCAATAAGGAGGACGAAGATGAGGAGACAGAGGTCAAGTTATTAAATATTTACTGTTCAACCCTGTTTATCCCCGTTTAAGTTTATCTTGTATAGAGCTGTCACTAGGCGCGTTTCCATTACCCTTCAAATTGCGCAAATTCAAATTGCGAATTGAAAATACGCCTAATGGAAACGCGTCAATTTTGCAAAAATGCCCATATATCGCAAAAACGCTTTTACGCTCGCATGAGGTGGTTTTTCAGGCAATGCGAAAAAGGAATAATTTGCAAAACTGCAATGGAAACGGCTTTTTCGCATTTACAGGTCACATGGCGTATGTAAAAAGTCATATGATCATTCTTCAATGTACTATAAGGGCTTTCCCTACCATTAATGCTTAGACAATTTACACTGCGCCTACTGTAATACACCTTAAAACAACACCACACTGTCGATATGACTGTTCAGACTGCAGTCGCATTGCAACACATCTGACCTGAATCGGATTTAGGACCACATATAAATGTGGCCCAAATCAGAATCGTAAAAATCAGATTCCATGTGGTTTGTGCTGTTCACATTGTTATGAAATAAAATAAACTGAGTTAGTTAAGAGCAAAAAAAATCTACATTTTCCTGCAGTGTGAATGAAGCATAAGTGGTTTCTGATCACAGATGCACTCAGCTGAGTCCATGAATCTCTCTACTAATGAGCTGATGATCTGAATTAGGTGTGTAAAAAAAATCAAAGTGAGACCTGTGTGAGGAGCCGGTTCTGCTCCTTCAGTATGTGGATGGCCTGAGGAGGTGCTGGAGCAGGAGGAGCGCTGGAGGAGCCTGTGGACGGGAACGTCTGGAGAACAGCATATTTTTCAATCAGCACAGTAACAACAATAATATATCAGAGTGAAAGGAGGTTTTATACGAACCTTCCCGGAGAATGAAAGTAAATCGCAGAGGCAGCGTGTGACGTCCTGCAGTTTAGGCAGAACAACTTCCAACTGACTCTGACAAGATTCAGCCAAAAACTCCTGAAGAAATAAAATAAAATGTCAGAAATGAGCATTTTGATTAAGGGATCAATATTTGATCCTGGGATATTTTAAGCAAATTTATTTGTTGTTTATTTGCTCTGTAACAGGCAAACTGTCTTAAAACAAAAATATCTGTAGCCATTTGAAATTAGAGGTAACCCCTGCGTTTTAATCATGATCCAAACAAACATGCTACACGCATAGCACGAGCAGTTGTTTTTTTATCTGAATTTGATTGTATAATTTCAAGATAAAGAAGGCAAAACCAGAATGGTCTGACCTTAGATTTGGAAAAACTATGCTACCTAAGACACTTGTGCAAAACAAAAACAGCAGACGGACTGAAAGAAAATGCAAATTCACTCTCTAGCCCCTTTCACACATAGTCTTTACTGGTAAATTAATGTTAAAGGGTCATGAAACCCCCTGTTTCAGCACTGGTTAATTCTCACCACAGTTTTAAAAAATGCTAAAAAAGTGGGCGTGGTGCGCTGCAAGCGGAGGGGGAATAGGGGAGACAGACAACACACAGCTTCGGATTCAGACAGTTTCATTTCACTCCCATCGAGTTAAAAACACAAATAAATGCACAGCCATTTGCACTCTGTATCGAAAAACATACATGAACGTGCTGTTGCACCTTTTTAAGACTTATTCTGCCGTGATTATATAAGCCTTTTGACGGGTTGTGTCACAGAGCTGTAAAAACGGTTATACTCACTAAGTGAATCAATCGCGTTTGTGCCCGAACTCTTATTAAAAAAGCAAAAACAAACACTCTTCTTCGATTCATGAGCGTTTCTCTCAGATAATTTACGCGATCTCACAGTCTGAAGTGTCTGTCATAGCAAATCAACACATGATGTTGTGAATAATTAAGCAAAGCGTCTTCTCATAGGATAAGAACACGCAGTCTCATGAATAATTTAATAGACACAGACGCGTCATCAATGTACTATAGTCCATTGCCGCGTCACAAATTTTGACGTCAACACGATGTAGATTTTAAACATGGAAGATGAAAATAGCACAAAAAAAGTTTAACATTTTTCTCCAATAGTTAAAATTATTGGATGCTAACATTGTCTTCTATGATGTGCAAGTGGGGAAGTCATGGCCTAATGGTTAGAGAGTCGGACTTGTAACCCAAAGGTTGCAGGTTGCAGGTTCGAGTCTCGTACCAGCAGGGATTGTAGGTGGGGGGAGTGAATGTACAGCGCTCTCCTCAGAAAAAGTAGTCTGGGTTTTCATGACCCTTTAAGAGATCCTGTGTGAACGGGACCTTTTCAAAAATACTGGTAAATTAGTTTAGGCTATTTAACGCTATGAGAATTTGTAACATTACCAGTAAATTGCAGGTACGTATGAGTTCAGAACGCGCTGACATAAGATGTGTACTCTGGGCCAATCATAACATTCTGATGCAGATGACGCATTTACTCTGCGCTGTTTTTGGAAGTCAAATGGTGCGTCCCAAATCGCGTACTTATGCACTATTCCATGACATTTTGTAGTATAAAGTAGGGCATTCACACTGAAAATTTAAAAAAGAAAAAGTGCACCTTAAATACCTGTATGATGCACTTAAATAACCGAAAGTGTGGAATGTTGGACACTTCATGCACTCAAATGTCGCAGCTTTAATTAGGTAGAGAAAGGGGGAGGAACTATCAGACTCCAATTATGAATGACAAAATAGCCTTATGTAATTCATTAGGGATGTGCATCTCATGACTCAGGCCGATACGATACACATCTCGATGCATAGCCAACGATACGATACATTGAAGATACATATGAAGTAGCTAGCGATGCGATACGATTCACCCCTATTACGATGCAGTGCGATCCGATTTCGATTCGATCCAATTCAACGCAATGCGATTCGATGCAATACGATGCAATGGAAAAAATATGATCGCATTTATTTCTTTGGTTCTGACAGAGACAGCAAATCATAAATTAACTTGTGTCTTCTGACTTCTAACGCCTCGAGGCCTGTTTCATAAAACAAGTTTACCAAATAGGCCAGGTTTATTTCAGTTAGTCTGACTCACTGTCAAATGATTTGGTTCCATAAAACAAATTTAACAAAGATCAAAATTAGTCACTGTGGCAACTTATGCTGGAAACCTAACCTGGTCCAGGGCAGGCAAACTGTCAGACTAAGCTGAGCACCTCTAACACTGAACAATAGGAATGCAATGATATTACCACTGACTCTCTCACATACCATCATAGCCATGCAGCCTTCTCTGGTTTTATGACAGATAGCATTAGAACTTTACAATCTAACATTGGTCTTTAAAGCATTAAAATCACTAAACTAAAAGTTAAAATCACTAAATTAAAACTACATTTTAACTGCTATAAGAAACACATTAAGTAGTAAGTAGTAGTAAGCTTAGTAATTAGGACTGTATTAGCTTACATTTTATTGACCCATTACGAATACTCCCTTTACAGGTACTACTATCATAAGAATACACCTATATGTAGTTTTAAAATTCTACAAAAGGCACATTTAATGTTCAACAACGAATATTTCAGCAAAATGCATATTTAACTCAGAATTATTGCGCTCCGTCTGTTTAGCGTGCATGTGCGCAGCAGCACTCGTTCACTCGCGTATGCCTCGCCCACTCCTGACAGCAAGAAAAATGGATATATTTGCATGACTTTCTAACATTTACAGAGGAAAAATATACTCGTGACATGTCAGTTATGCACTGAGGAAAACACATAAATATACTGTTTCTGGACTTTAGTTTTGAATGAGATGTCTTGATCTCTGACAGATTCATGATCATGGTGTGAGGCTGGACTACTGAGGATGGTGTTCAGTTGTCTGGACGTACGGTGGAGTGGTGGCTCTGGCCGATGTGTCTCTGCGTTTCAGTGATGTTATGGATCTGGGTCTGGTACCATTCTCTGGCTCGCTCCAACACATCCAGCCCAGCTAGTAGAGAGTCTTTCTCCTGCTCCAGCTCCTTCATCTGCTTAAGCTGACAGAAAACACACACAATTACAACACACACACTCACAGCCTGTTAATATAAATGTGAAAAATACGACATATGATACGCCAAGACTTCTAATACAGAGACTAACACTGTGTCTACACCGGATGCGAAAGTTGTCGCGTCGCGCTGCAACAGCTAAAGTTTGTCTACACTGGACACGACAAAGCGACCGTTGCAAATCATTTTAATTTTGTGGCAGTACATCATAAATAGAACAAGGCAGCAGTTTACTGTCGGGGATTTGTCGTGTTGCGCGGTGCCGCATACAGTGTAGACAGCAACACTGATTATAATGGGTTCTATAGTATTTTGTCACATCGCGCTGCACCGCTCGTGTCCGGTGTAGAGACGCGGTGTAAAGCTCAAATCAAAATCTGTTCTGTGTGTGTACGTTGTTGGAGGCTATTGTATATCACATTTTACATTTCCATTATCCAAAGTGAAGAATACAATTAGAGGTGCTCCGATTTATCGGCTTCCGATCGCTATCAGCCGATAATCGCTTTGGGAAGTTTGAACAGCGGTCTCTATAAAAGCCAATCTCATAAACTGATCTGAAGCTGACGACTCGGCTGCCGTGAGAGGTTTGGCGTGACATGCAGCGGCACAGTCTCAATCTCACTTCGGCATGTGTAAAATAATTAAAATACTGAAGGTGAGGAACAATTCATATTTCTTTATTAAATAACTTAGTGTAATTTGAAAACTTTCTGTATGACGTAATTTCACAAATAGCGTGAGTGAATCACCGCGCACTCTCTCTATTTCCCTCTCAAAATGCGCAAATGGCTTCAAATCACATCGCGTCTGCACTATAAGCGAGCTTCACGCTGCACAGTTGACACAGGAATTGTCACTTGCACAATTGAGGCAGTGTCACATAATCAAGTTTATAATTTGCATTTCTTTTTAAGTCTTGCCAGTGTTTAAACCATTCAGCACTCGCTTGCGCGCTCTCCTAGAGACGGTGCGCTCATGCACACTCAAAGCACACACATAAGGCCGCCTCACATACAGCTCACAAAATCAGGCTTGTGCTGAGTGTAAGCTATTGTGCAACTAAAAATAAATTCAGGCCCTGAATGTATGTCTGTAAAAATCCTGATTGGAGCATCATTACAAATAATTCTACATGATAAAAAGAAGGCTTCAAAAAGATCGGTATCAATGATTGTATCGGCAGATACTGCTTCCTGTAATCGACGATCGGTGATTGGCTCCAAAAATCCTGATCATAGCACCCTTAAATACAAGCAATTTGTTAGGCAACTAATATTGAAACTATTGTTAAAGCTGTAGTATGTAACTTTTTTGGTTGCAATGGTTTGGCTTATAATTATGATTTATAATGTGAGCTGTGTGGTCATATTTAGTGGAAATTTGCCTCAGTTTGACATCACTCGTCTTTTGACAGAATAAAGGAGACTCGGATAATATACAGCATGTGTGTGGAGCATTTGTAGCATGTTCTTACAACACTTGCTTATCTGTATAGCTGCTTTTAATCAGTAAATGACTAAACGGCAATCATCGTTAGCATTTGGGAAACCTACTCTCAAAACCAAGAAGCTTCGAACAGAAAGGGAAAGTGACGGTCCATCCTGAAAGTAAATATCAGCATGGCTTTTGAGCACAGACAACTCTGAGATGTGAAGGGACTGAAGACGTTAGGTAAGTCATTTCAGTGGCTTAACAGTTATCTCGCTAACATTAGCACAGCTGTTCGCTTGATTCAGATAGGTATCAAGTTGGTGAACACACACAGCCCAACAACACATCACACAGCGACTAGAGAGCAGACTACCTGCAGGAATAATGACTGATGAGGTGTTTTTATAAATATGTTTCCAAATACTGTGTTTATCACGCATAACTAAGACATTTATTATGTAAATGAACGATCAGTTACACTAATAACAAGAGGACTGGCTGTAATTTGTCAGCGATTTGAGCCATCTTTAGTCTAACTCACTAATAAATAACAATTATATGTCATCATTAAAACATATGTAATAATAACAATGCCTAGTAATCTGTTGAGTTACAGATAGCTGTCAATAAGGCAATACCAACATTAGCTAATTGTTTTTGTGATAAGACGTGACGGCTTCAGACACAGAGGACAGACCTACTGGCCAAAGACAGCAGCACAGAAACAACCTGAGCACAATGATAAAAGAATGAAATAAGAAAATACAGGCAGAGGACAATGTTCCTGTAGACACAAACACACTTCAACCATGCTACTGTAGACTATTTAAAAATGTTAAATACACAAATGGGATGTATGTTTCAACTGCATCTGTCTTTGAAAAATAAAACGTCAGCTGTGATTGATTTGATTTATTGTTATTCTAAGAGCTTATTAGCACAGTTGTGTCATACGGTTTATGCTCAAAACAAACCAAAAAAAAAATTTAACTCAGCAATTTTAACTCAGCAATTTTTTTGCACATACCAAATTAGCAAGTAACATCATGAAGTCTTGATTCTTGATTAACATCATGCTTGTTACACTTGAACATAACAGCATGAGAGGTGCTGTGAACTAGGCCTACAGTTTTAATAATCCATTTGCGGTACCACAATTTCAGTTTAATATCTATTCTCATTTCTACTTCTGCATATTCAAAACAAGACATGACAGTTAATGACGTTTGCTTCCATGATGACAAACAGATTACATATGAGACTGTAATTGTGGCCTACAGCACAGGGGGAAGATTTTCTTTAAATTGCCACTTTTTTGTCTTTTTGTTACATACTTCAGCTTTAAGACACTTTTTTCGATTTCACTTCAATACATAAAATCTACTTTTGTACAAGTAGAACATGTAAAAGGGTGAGACTTTCAACTTTTGAAGAGAAAGACTTTAAGAAACTTGAAAACATTTCATATAGAGCCTTTCAATGAATATAGCTCAGTAAAGCAGCCAGCGGATCTTCTGCAGGCCGATGAACTGCCGTCTCAACTCTTTTTAAAGCGGGTCAGTGAAAGAGAAATAAAGGGTGGGGAAAGGCTTTGTGTCATATGTTTGTGTGGTGGGCCGTCGAAAGGGAAAATCCTATTTGTATAGAGAGACGGGGAGCAGACAGAGAGTCACATCAACACTCTCACACACAACTGCTTTCACAAGATAAATCATACAGATGCCACATGAGGGACAAGAGCTACAATCACATACAGAGAATCTCATTTAACACTCTACGCCTCAGCCAAATACTACATTAAAAATGTGGAAAGTTTTACAGAACAGACACGGTTCATGACAATGTAACTGATGAGGGAACCATCAGGAAGAAACAAACACAGAGTAAATGGCCATTGGAAGCATGAAAAGCACGGTAAACACCATCACAAACATGATCTTCATACACAATCCATCAGAACGTGACACTCTTCCCATCTGTCTGTCTGTCCGTCTGTATCTAACTCACCCAAAGGTAGAAGTGCAGGGCTCTGCTGGAGAACAGGCTGCTACTCAGAGGGATGAAGACGGTGGTGTAAGCAGCCCACACGGCAGCGTCCAGGCCTCGAGGCCCGAGCCGACTGACCACCATGAGAAGGAAGGGAGGGACAGAGCAGCTGAGACCAGCAGAGAGACGCAGAGAGAGCAGAGAACCACAGAGAGGGAGAGAATGAATGTTAACGCAGGGAGGAGCAAGAGAAAGACAGCTGAGAGGAGGAGCTGATGAGAGGAGACGCAACCGTTCAGCTTCACACACACTTAATACATCAGTCATAAACACTAATGACACATTAATGACAATCACAAAGTATCTTCATTAGCTCAAAGTACCCAGAAGAGTGAATAAAAAACAACATCAAAAACAGCCGACATTTACAACAATCTGGTTGAGTATCTTCTAAATAGGGCTGGGCGATATAGCTAAAAAATTTATCAACGATATAATGTTTCATATCGTTCGGTATCGATAATTATTGACATTTTTTATAACCTTTTTTAAAACAAAGAGCAATAGAATTTTTTTTTTTAACCACTGTATTTTTAAAGTAACCCAATTTATTGAGACAAACAACAAATATTTTTGTTTTAACAATCAAACACAAAATAAAAATTAAATATCTAATTTCTAATGTTTTATATGCAGATTAAATAGGACTTCAGGAAACTTTTGGCTTGTTTCCAGAGGCCAAACAGGAGGGCGCAATGAACAAAATAATGCAGAGCATTTAAACTGTCAACGCAAGGAAGTAACTCTATTAAAAAAAACGTGCATTACGTCTAAATTAACTCATAAAAATTTTATATAATTTCGTAAATTGCATAAACAATTATGAACAAAACAGCATCATGTATTTATGCATTGCTTAATCCAAAGAGCCGAAGCGCCATTCACACATATTGCATTTAAGAACATATGAGACGCAGTGAAAAGGAATAAACCTCCACAAATTTGTGACTTGTTTTCTAAAACTTTAAACTGCTTTAACTTTGCATGGCTACATCTCTTGTGTGAGACGTGAGGGCAGCAGTCATATTTGTCCGTCTAAAAAATGCGCTGAATATGTGTTCTGTGTGAATGGCTTGGTTTAAAAACAGGTTTTAACCAAATCAAGATCTTCTCCGCATCGAGCTTCTATATTTCTCTAATATTTTGAAAGAATAACGCAGCAGTGGCGCGTCTCGTGGGTTAGACTAACAAAACATTAAAATGCAACAACGTCACTTACATCATCATCACCGCATCTCGTGCTCCACTGAAGACGCTCCCTTTAAATTCGACTAATATTCATTCTTTATTTACAATCTCCTCAGGCAGGCACAGCACTCATTTCAGCATGTGTTAGTGTTTGTGTGTGTTGTCTGCGTCACTCATAGCACGTGCCTATATCGAGCATTTTTTCTATCGTTATCGAATAAGGTGTACCGTCGATAAATATCGATACCGTTTTATCGCCCAGGCCTACTTATAAATATATAAACTATCAAAAAAAATAAAATGAAAAATGTCACAAATTCACACTATGACTTAGGGCTGGGCGGTATGATGGTATATTGAACCCTGGTTAACAAGCAGATCTGCTGCGAGTTCGTGCAGCACTGTCAGAATACATGCAATGTGCACGTGTATTAGAAAACAATGTTTGGCAGTTTATTTACTAATTGTTTACAATAACCAGCAACAATCACCCCTTCCTCTTCTCATTGAAGACATGCGATGCAGTCCTAAACAGCCTCTCGCTGTCGGTGCTTGTAATGATTTTTGCGTCTTTCTCCAACAGTTTAAATGCTTCCACACTGCTGACGTGTGTGCTGCATAATAAAGAGTGCGCGCCTCTCACTCTACGCTGGTTGCTATTTGATCGCGTCATATGATTGTTCGGTACAATTTATTCGGTCTTTTCACTTATTTGGTTGCCGAAATAACATACAAGAACTTAGCTCAGAGTAATAAATTATTTTTGCCCTAAACATACATCTCTGCTGGTCTGGAGAGGTCCATGCTCCTGTCTGAAGTGCATATAGCCTATCTGTAGCACATATGGGGTTCAGACAGCAAGCCTCAAAGCCTGGGTGCAGAGTCAGACACTGCACATCAAATGTGGGGGTCACATTCTCCATCTCCACTAAGGCCCAGTATGTAACTCCCTGCAACACTGACTTCTCTCAGCTGTGACCATGGCCTTGCTTTTCCCACACAAGCGCATAATGAAACAAAAACGTGTTTATCTCTCTCTCTCTCCTGTGGTGATGAGAAACCGCTATATCACGTAATATTAGTATCGGATATTAACGAGCATGACACTCCTGATCAACGCTAATTAGTTTCTGTTACTGGTAAGTATCAATACTCCAATACTAGATGACCAATACTAGCTTTGCTATTGCCTGATTACATATCATTAGCTAACGTGTGTATATCTGTAAGCTAACACTGGTCTCTCACCAAGACACCTCCCCTGTTCTCCTCACACAACTTAATTAGTCTCCTCTGACCGTTGTTCTGTCTAATACTGGCCTGTCCCTGCTTTCTTGGCTGCATAGCAGGCTCATAATTGTATCTGTGGTCCGTCATACTAGTGTAAATTTTAAAAACATTCCTCAGCATCCGAACTGTCATTGCGAAACATTGTTTTTCTATGTTTAAAATGGACCGCTCTCCCTCTCGTAACGTCACTTCCGGTTTTGGTGGTTTTTAGATGCGGAAGTAAAATTCTCACAAAAACGACTCCAGAAACCTTAAAGTATATTTTAAAGAAAAACTAGTTCCTACATTATTTTTCAATACATCGACTAACTGGGGTCTCCAACCTGGAATATGCCCTTTAATATATATTCATATAAATATTAGTCATACAAATTACGTAGATCTCTTGCCACAATGCTGGGTTGGGCATCAATCTGCCTCCTCATCTCCTCCATGAGTTCATCTTGGTACGCTGTGAGCAGTGAGATGGGACTGGGGGGGTTGGACATCCCCAACTCTTCCATATTGTGAACATCCAGCCTAGAGAAACCTTTAACAGGTACCCTCTGTGAGTAGGGTTTGTCCCAGAAGCGTTGCATCTTTGTGACGCATGCTGGAATGGCTGGTATCAGCTGCTTGACTGGGGAAGTGTGCAATCTGTGCATCTCATCCATGAACTCTCCCCAGCTGCTCCGGACCTGAGGAGCAACCTTGGCCATTTCCATGGGAGGCGCAGAAAGACTCGGGTCCCCTTTACACGTGGCCGAGACTCATACTCGTCGCTCTAGAACCCTTAATGGGAACTGAGAGCAGTGCGGGCAGCATTCGGGATTAGCGAGCGCAACCTGTGCGTGTCTTAGGGCTGTGACGGTCGCCACCGGCGGTAGTGCACGTGACGTCACGCACTCTATAACAAGCATAATACAAAGTTTTGTATACAAGTGTAATAACAGTAGCAGAACAGTGAACCGTGTCTACACCGGACGCGACACCGCCGCGTTGCAACAGGTTGAGTCTGTCTAATGTCTACACAGGACATTTGATCTCTGTGTCAGTACCTCATAAACAGAACGAGGCAGTTTACTGTCGGGGATTTGTCATGTCGTGCCACATCCAGTGTAGCATTACCGATTATAAAGAGTTTTATAGTATTTTGTAGCGCCGCGCAGCTTGCGTCCTGTAGACAGGGTGTATTTAACTTTCTTATTTAGGCTACGTTCTTGTTTAACTGTATTATTTCTTTGATATTTAGTGTTTTGCAGGCTGCGTATTCACTGACTGAAGTGCTAAAATAAACACGAGCTGACGAGTTAAATTGGGTGTGTTAGATGAGTGAGACAGTGCTGGGCTGCTCCAGGACAGTTTTGAAAACCATTTCAGAGACATGTTCTTAAATGTGACTCATATAAAATATATTACATGCATGCACAGTTTTAAGGCAGCTTTAATCGCCTTTTTGGTAACTTCATGACTTAACTGACCACGGCATTGCATGCACGTAGTTTATTTCGCACTTTGATATGAAAGGATACAGGCTAAAGCGCACCGGCGCCTTTGTGCGTGCAATTGAAGAGCACGTGCTTCGAGCACAGTACCGTTTCCGCGCTCGCTTCGTTCTGCGACTGAATAAATGCACTTCTTGTCAAGAGAAAAAGTGACAGAAGCAGCAGTTGTGAGTGCGGTGGCCAACACTAGCCCCGCCCCTGCTTTAAATATTTTGAACGTGTTAAACTGAAAAAATAATCGCCTGCGTTAATACAGGCTACAACGCGCCGGTGTTCTGACAAATAATGCTACCTATCAGATTATGCTACCAAACACTATATTTATCCTACTGTAAGGGTAGGTTTAGGGTTGGGGTAGGTGTACAGTCGTGGCCAAAAGTATTAGCAGTGACATAAATTTTGTGTTTTGCAAAATTTGCTGCTTAAGTTGTTGTGATGTTCATTCACATTGTTTCTACAAGTATTGGCAGTGACATCTAGAAACAATGTGAATGAACACCACAACAACTTAAATAAACTGAAAGCCTGCGTTAACGCGCTAATTTTGACGCCACTAATATATATAATATTAATAATACATATACATATATATATATATATATATATATATATATACACACATCAACACCGCACCACCGGCGGTAGTTGGTCCATTATCACCGTGGTGGTAAAAATCTGCCACCGTCACAGCCCTAGCGTGTCTAACTCCCAAATACTCTATGCACAGAGGGTGAGAGTCTTTAGACAAAAATCATAGACCCGCATGCACACGGGCGAGAAGGATCTTTCCCTTTCGCTGTGCCACTGGGTGGGCTCACAGTCGCTATAACAGAGATGCGAACACCGGAAGGTTAACCACAACGTGCCTCGCAATGTCAATTATTCCTGAAAATGCATCGGGATCCGTCACACCACTTATAGGTGACCTATTATGCCCCTTTCTACAATATGCAATATAAGTCTCAGGTGTCCCCAGAATGTGTCTGTGAAGTTTCAGCTCAAAATACCCCACAGATCATTTATTATATCATTTTGAAAATGCCTATTTTGAGAGGAAGCAGAAACACGCTGTTTATGTGCATGCAAGCTTACCAAAACAAATTACTGGGTTAATCTTTTTCACATTTCCTGGGTTAGTAGAAGCACCGGGGACCCGATTAAAGCACTTAAACATGGAAAAGTCAGATTTTCATGATATGTTGCCTTTAACGTGAGGGAACAATTGAGAGAAAGAAAGAAAAACTGAGAACCCGCCTTGAAGCACTGGTCCCCACTCCAAAAGATAAAGACAGAAAGATAATATTCACTTTAACAGTAAATATTCTCCCCAAAGAAGCAGCCGCCTTCGGCGACTTACCTAAGAAGAAACCTCTCGTCCTTGAATAGTTTAGCGCCACCATTTACGAGGATCTGCTGAGGATAGTTTCCAATAAGATCTTCACGGGGAAGAGAACGAGAATGAGGTAGGGACTAGGCATGGGCCGGTATGATAACCTTAAGCAAAAATATCACGGTTTCACGGTATTGTCATTACTGCTCTAAAATGTGTTATTTTTAAATGACTGGGTAAAAAAAAAGTTTTTTCTGCTAAACACTATATTTTGTTTTTTAACAACATACAGAATATTAGGAACAGTAGAATTTGTTTATTTTTTCTTTGATTTGTTTCCTAAAAAGAAGACAATTAAAGACTGACATCTTTATTTAACCTAAATCTGTAATTAGTTATTTAATTTTAGTAATATAATTCATATACATATCATTTATATAATTTCATATAATTTAGTTATATCATTTCATATACATAATTTGATTTAATAATAACCCAATTTGAAGCAAAAACAGAATGTTCTGACTAGCTTTGTGAAATTATACTACATGCCTAAACTAAACGAACAGCAGGAGCTCTGAATGAGACGCAGATTCACTCTCTGACAGCACGAGGCGCTCGTGGAACACCAGATACAGCGTTTCCTTGTTTACCGCTGTAAGCAAAGCAGCACTGCACTGAAACACTGCTTTAATACGAACTATACAGAGACGAGATGAAAAGAAAATACCACGTAAACTTTTCATTCATATAAAACCCCAAATCAATATTGAGGATTTTCTTTCAATAGTTCGTGCATCATGAACAGTGAGTGATCTGCCTGCTACAGTATTTTTCTCTTTGTGTCCGTCTTCAGCATCTCTGGCCTGTGTTAACGGGCGTTTACAGACTTCATATTTTCACATACATGACATTTTGGAAAACGATTGCATTGCAATGCAGTTTGTGCAAGTCCAGAACGGAGACGAGTTGCAATAAGACAAAAACCGGCCAGTTGCCGATCGCTTAAGTTCCAGGGGTAGCTCCTTAAAAGTTAAAACAGTGAAAAACAGTGCATACCGCACGAACGGTATAATGAAAAATATTAGTGGTTTTGAAACCGTGACATTTTCAATTCGCGGTATACCTTGAAACCGGTAATCGGCCCATGCCTACTAGGGGCCGTTAGCAAAGATATAAATAAGGGAGGCGGGACTTCCACATCAGTGTCGTGATTGGTCTGTCAACCGACAGACGTGGTGTAATTGGTGCTTCCAGGATTAGTCATGCCCAAGGCGATTCCCATAGTGAGATACCGAACAAATTTTTGAAAAAGAACATCAGAGGAGTGTGTGAATGCAGCAATTATACTCGCTCTGATGGCAGCAGGGAGCCTACCATTATCTAGCTACATTAAACGTGCTTAAATTAAATACCTAAAGCTAAACTCCCTTGTGCAATGAGAAGCGTTTCTAAACCTGTTGTCCAACAAAAGACAACTTTATAACGTCGATTAGCAATGGATTGTAAATATACTTAATTATTATGAAAATACCCACGGTGGCTTGAAGAACAAAGATAAACTATATATTGTCGCAGTTTATTGTCTTTACGTGAGAGTTTATTATCTTTATGTTTCATCATTCAAAATATTTCTATCTTCTTTTTTATTCATCAGTCACAGCGATAGCTGGATGTCTTAGTCCATATTAGGGATTTCCTAGAGCATCATGAGTTCTATTACTTCTGAGATGCATATGTGAAGTTTCTGCATGAGGGCACCCTCTGGCTTCCAGTATGAATGAAACAGACATTAAAGGGGTCATGAATTGAGAAATCAACTTTTACTTGAGCTTTTGATATATATAAGAGGTCATCATACTAAAAGAATATACTGTAAGTTTCAGAACTGAAAATGTCCTTGTTACTGAAATAAAAGCTCTACTGACCTGTACTACAAATTATTGAACATCACTCAAAATGCCAATGAATCTCCACAAGCATTTCTATTCAGAGCCATTGAGTTAAAAGAGAAGCTGCTGCACACTTGTGAAGAAGGTGGTGAATACTTCAGTACAGAGCATGTTCAGAAGAAATTTCTACGCTCTGTTGGCACAGGGCTGATCAGTGATCATATTAAATTTCAGCTAAGGCCATACTTGGATGATTCAAAGATCTCTGATGAAATGCTGATAAACAAAATGAATGAAGCCGCTGGTGATGAGTTAGAGAGACTAAATAAACAAAAGAAGAACATGGGGAGTAAAGTGGCAAAAGTACGCACACTCTGTCCAGAAATGCAGGCCCATCCATGCAGACAGGATGAAATGACTGCCAAGTGATATAGTCAGGCGAAAATGCAGAGAGACACCAGCAGTGGAGGGGAAGAGGGAAACAGGGTTATATGAGATGGTTAAACTCCTGAGAGAGGAAGTTGCAGAACTCAGGAAAAATCAAAACAACCCTCCGGAACGTATGACAAGAGGAAGATCCAGCTACAAAAAGGGATGCAGAGCGTGTCAGGAAAAAGGTGAAGAGAATCGATGTGAACACTGCTTCAGATGTGGAGTTGTGGGTCATGCTGCCCGGGGCTGTAGAGCACCAAATGATCCAGAAGAAGGTAGGAGCGATGTAAAAATATCTGTTCATTCCATGAGACCAGACAGCTCAGCCTCCATCTTGGGTTTTGTGTCGACAATCAGCAGGACGATCCCAGACAGTGCTGCCTAGAAAATACTTTCAGTTGGTGTTTAAGGAGCTTCACGAGGAGATGGGACACCAAGGAGTGGAGCGCACACTGAGCCTTATCCGGGACAGGTTCTATTGGCCTCACATGCAGGCAAATGTGGAACATTATGTCACCAAAGTGTGTAGCTGTCTGAAACGAAAGCATCCAAATAGGATAACAAGAGCACCACTGGTCAACATAGTGACGACTTACCCTTTTGAACTGGTCTCAGTGGATTTCCTGCATCTGGAGGGCTGCAAGGGCGGCTACGAATACATCCTGGTTTTAATGGACCACTTCACACACTTTGCCCAAGCGTACGCCTGCAAAAATAAGTCTGCAAAAACAGCGGCAGAAAAGATCTTTGGCGACTTTGTTCTCAGGTACGGATTCCCCACTAAACTCCACCATGACCAGGGAAGGGAATTTGAGAACAAGTTGTTCATCCACATGCAAGAACTCTGTGATATCCAACGCTCCCACACGACTCCCTACCACCCTGCTGGAAACGGGCAGGTGGAAAGATTTAACAGAACACTGCTGTCAATGCTAAGATGTCTGCCGAGTCAAGCCAAGGCTGATTGGAAGAGCTCCCTAAACAAGGTCGTCCATACATATAATTGTACGCGAAGTGAAGTGACAGGCTATGCCCCGTACTACCTCATGTATGGACGGCACCCAAGGCTGCCTATTGATGTAATGTTTGGTCTAAAGACAAAGGAGTGTGAAGTATCGCACAGTGATTATGTCGCCAAATGGAGAAAGCGCATGAAAGAGGCATATGAATTGGCGTCAAGAACAGTTCAGAAAGAGCAGAGGAGAGCTAAACAAGGCTACGACAAGAAAATATATGGAGCGGGTCTCCAGCCAGGAAGCAGAGTGTTGGTGAGGAATTGTGGAGAAAGAGGTGGTCCAGGAAAACTCCGGTCATACTGGGAGGATAGAGTGCATGTTGTGACAGAAAGGAAGTATGAAGACGGCCCAGTGTATGTGGTTAAGCCAGAGGGTGGCCCTGGGGAAGCAAGGGTCCTTCACAGAAATTTGTTGTTGCCTTGCGACTTCCTACCTGTTGACAACAACCAGGAAAAAAGTGGTAAAACATGATCAAGGCGAAAAGAGACAAAGGCAAAGGGAAAAAAAGACACACATGATGCTGTGACTGAAGAGGACTCAGAGGACGAGGATGACTGGAGAGGCGTGACGGCCTTGCCGATAAAGCAACTTATTAATACATACAGTTCCAGTAAACAGACAGTGACACATAAATGGCTAAAATATAGTGATGCAGTCATAACAGCTGGTATGTGGGTCAGTTGAGAGAGCATAGAGTATGTCTAAGGTTCCAAACTTTCAGCACTTGATGTGTGGCCCGTCGCATGACGGAGCAACCTTTCAGACATCATGTGGCCAGTGGTGTCTACTCCAGTGGATGACATGAAGGGGGAGATAGATGTCATGCGAAGACACTTGCAAGACAAATTAGCATCAAGTATTGAGACTGACTCCCTGATGTACTACTTTGCTCTACTGTTCAAGACAGAGATGCTTGGAACGATGGAATGCCGAGACGGCATTCATTTTTGGAGGGGAGAGTGTGGGACTGATAATAACATTCCCTGCGATGTTAATGGTTATAGAGAGAGTGCCCCCCCCCCC